TATTTGATTGGTTCTTGTAATTGGGTGATACGTACAGAGCACGAAAAGGTTCCGTGGAATTTGAATTTAATTTTGAAACTTGAAATTTGTTGTTTTCGGGATATTTTTTGAATTCGTTTGTAATTTTCTTATCGTAATTCTTCTCACAGTTTCTATTTGTATTTACATCCACCAAATTGTTCATTTGTTAAGCTGTGCCTTTAATTGATTAATTAAGCGTTCACTTAGATTCAAATTCAATTCTCGATAATGAATCGCTTCTGATGCGTTTGCTGAAATTCAATGACTGTGCGATATCGTTTGATGAAGTAGAGAATATTATAGAATATATTATAGATATTAGTGAACCATTGATAAACTGTTATTATTGTGATTTGCTGATGTGTTTTAGTTCACTCTCAATTTCGTTTCATTGCAGATCTGTTATTTATCAGCGACTTCGTCACGTAATTCACATACGAAAGCTGTTCACTGGGATCAGTTGCGTAACGCAGACGCACTTATTCTGACGTCGATCTGTCGATTCCCCGAACATACTCCCGATAATTCGGTCTTCAACGTGTTCACGGTGATGGCTGATACGCTGAAAAAGAATGGCTCAGTGCTGCTTCCAGTATGCCCAACCGGTGTTCTCTACGATCTTCTTGAAGTGCTAACGAATCAATTGGAACAACAGAATATTCCAATGGACATTCCCGTCTATTTCATTTCACCTGTAGCTGAAAGTTCAATAGCATTTTCAAACATTTACGTTGAATGGCTATCGGAAGTGAAACAAAGTGATGTTTATGTACCTAAAGAACCGTTCACACATGCAAATTTGGTGCGAAGTGGACGTTTAAAAGTATTCGAGTCGCTCGATCGAGCTCTCTGTCAGCAAATTAAAACGCCGTGTATACTCTTCACTGGTCATCCGTCGTTAAGGTTCGGTGAAGCGGTTCGTTTCTTGGAGTTATGGGGTAACAATGCTCGAAATGCGATCATAATGACAGGTAAGGTGATTCATTTCATTTTCGT